ATCAAAGAGGTTTAAAGTTGAAAGACACAAATTGACCACAAAGATATGTGAAATGACAACAGGAGAAATAAATTGACCAAAAGGACACAAAATAACCATAAAGAGACACAAAATGACCAAAAAGAGATGCAAAATGACCACAGAAACACAAAATGACAAAAAAGGGATGCAGAACGACCAAAAGGGGGATGCAAAATGACCACAGAGATACAAACTGACTTGAATGGATGCAAAATGACCACAGAGATACAAACTGACTTGAATGGATGACCTCAAAGGAAGGCAAAGGTTCCACAAAGGCTGGCAAATTGACCAAATAGAGACAAAAAAATGACATAAAAAGGATTCAGAATGACCAAAAGGGGATGCAAAATGTGCGTGAAAGGACACAAATTTACCACTAAGTAATTCAAACTTACCACGAAGTGATACAAAATAACCAAAAAGAGATGCAAAATGACCTTGAAGGAACACAACATTAACATAAAATGATTCTAAATGACCACAGAGGCACAAAATGACAAAAAGGGATGCCAAAATAACTACAAAGAGATGCAAATAGACCACAAAGGGAGGCAAAATGTACAGTATTTATAACGGTAGGAGCTATCATAGACCTGAAGATCCGGATCTTTGAGTCAGAGGTTCACCTGAAATTTAATCTATTCTGGATTGATCTAAAAATGATATGTGATATAACTGTCTCAGTAGCCAATCACAAGCTTGTATCACATAGCGTCAAATCTAAAACTATAAAAGTAGAATAACTGATTTTTCAATATAGCCTAGAGTTAGTGCTGATGTGGTTCATATTTTGAATCCATGCTCAGGTCAAACATTTTCTGCTGGAGCCTCAAAAACACTATAAACTTCCCCTTTTTTCCCAGGAGGCCGGAGGGCGACGTCTGACTGACGTTCTGTGCTTTCTAACAAACAAAAAAAAAAAAACGTCTCACTAATTCAGATGTCCGGCTAATTCCTCTGTAGGAGCTCGGTGTCCCGCCTCCCCCGGGAGCCTTAAATCAGCATTTCTGTGACAGGACTTCTGAGTGGCAGCAACGCCCCCAATCAGCACCTAATAATAACCCCAGTCAGCAGAGGTCAGCTCCTCCTTCAGCTCTGAGCGGCTGCAGGAGTTTCCTCTGCTAAAATAAACATGAGATCCCAGATGTTTGGAGAGTGAGATGGAAAGTCAACCTATTCTTGCTCTAGTTTACACATCATACATTATGAAAGTACTTATGTAGTCATTTATTTTATTGTATTGACTGTATTAATTCAATCGTGGTTTGAATGCCACAGCCTGATATTGTTGCTGACACAAAACTAAAATCATATTAATCTGGTTTCATACTGGTCGCATTTGTCATATTGTTCTTTAATAGATACTTTTCCACCTCAGCCAAGTATAAAAACTTTTTGGGGAAATTTCAAGATATTTTTTTTCCAGTTTTCTACATTTTCACTCAGGTTTTTATGTGCAGATTGAGGATGCACATGAAACAGCAAATACTGGAAGAAGGAAATATCACTTTTTGGATGAACTGCACTACAAAAGAGCAGTTTTGTTTATAATGCTTCAGTGTTACAGTGCCACAATCAAAACGTCTGGGAACAAACTCCAATTCTCGATGGTGAGCTAACGCGTCATATTTTAGCTGCAGATATTGCTATCTTATATTATTCTCATATTCCTTCAGAAACATAGTTGGTCTGTGTAACCCACAATATTTACATCTTTTGGCGTTTATCTTTATTTAAATATCACATCTTATCATATTTATTCTTATTTTATAAGAAAGCCGCCTCTGTCCCTTGCAGGTCTAATGGTATACTTGTATGGTTAGGACCGAACTCTTCTCCACAAGTGTCTCAGGGATGTCAGTATTTCCTTGTATGAAAATCAAAGAGCTCAGTTAAAGAGAAAATGACCAAAAAGAGGTATAGATTCCAAAGAGACACAACAAACAAGGACAGAGGTACAAAATGACCAAAAATTTATACAAATTAACCACAAAGATATGTGAAATTCCTAACAAATCGACGTAAAAGGGATGCAAAATGACCACAAAGGTAGGCAAAGTGACCAAAAAGACATAAAATGACAAAAGGGATCACAAACAGATGCAAAATGATCATGAAGGGATGTAAAACGACCACAAAAGGAATTCAAAATCACCAGAGGCACAAAATTTGGATTCAGATCGACCGAGCAGGGATGCAAAATGACCATGAAGGGACACCAAATGACCACGAAGTGATTCAAAACACACTGTATCACTGTGTGCCATAGACAACATGAGCACGAGCACAGATCTCTGCATATAAGACATTAACCTGGTGTCAGTCTCCCTGCCTCCTCAACCTGCAGTGCATCAGAATAAAGAAAGAAAAAAAACAGATGAGACAATCAGGCTTTATGCCAATTACAATGCAGGCTGCAGTATAAACTTTTATTCCGGTTTGTGTTTTACTCTTTATCAACGAACAACATGAATAAATTTATTAAGCGTTCACCCGCCGCCTCCCACTCCCACAAATCTACTCGGCCGGCACAAACTGCAAAGCCACTCTAGTCACCTTGAAATTTCCTCTGCTATTTTCCAATTAAAAGCTTAATAGCCCTGGAGACCGGCTTCACGTGGGGAAGTTTACCGTGCTCTTATTCTCTGTAAGCCGCGCGGCCTCGGATCCCATTATTTGCTTGAATAAACCTTTTTTACGGTCAGAAATGGGCCCCGGCTTTGTCCGGTGTTATGTTTCAATGCCCTCTATTAGTCCAGCAGAAGGGACATATCAGCATCCTCGACATAGTTCCCAAAGGGCTTTTTATACATGTAGAGACCTAATCATCTAAGTTATGTACGATTGTGTAAAAGGTGCGAGAAGCAGCGCGCGCTTTGTCCGAGGTAAAGTGTGTGCAGCCTGCGGGCCTGCAGGCAACGCGGAGGGGAAACAACACACAGATGTTCTCCTCACTCTTTACAATATGAATTGACTCAAAACACAAGTCGAGTTATTGCATTTAAAACGAACCTTATTGCGGATCTACAGCTGAGGAGCTACAGATCAGAGACCAGAGGTTTGACAGCTGGATGACACATTTGTCACATTTCAGTATTAATTCATGGACCTGCACATATTTTAAAGTATTTATTTCAGTTTCATCTCATGTTTTCTCACATTTTTTCACTCACATTTTTTTTTTACAACTCCACAAACTGATGGTGGTGGTGCTGAAGGTGCTGACTCTGCATTTAGTCTTTAAATGTCCTAAAAAATGTTTTAATTAGCTTTTTTTGTCCTGTGTGTCTCACTGTTGACAGCTGAGATGTTAAAGTTGATATTCAGTTGACTTCTGGTGCAGGTTCACTTCCTCTACAGGTATTCATGATGCCATATAGCAGCTTGAATTTCCATGTTCTGTGTTCCATGTGTACAATAAGAAAAACATGCCTCGTATTTGAATAATTTACAAATCTACAAATTTAAACTTTAATTAATGTTCCATCTGTTTCATGCAGGGACCTCAGTCATACAGTCGATAAAATGCCTCAGGTCTGATGTCTGGGATGTCACATGTTTTATATTCAGCTGGCATTTGAGTCTAGACTGAAACTGCAGGCTTATAGATTTCTGAAGCTGTTTTCACATTCAGTTTTACATTTTGTTGCATGTTAATTGTTGGAATGTGAATCATAGGCCTCATATTTTTTTTTTTTTTAAATCTACAACTACTACGGCAAACTACTTTATTTCTAATGATATAAATGTTTAAATTGTTTCATTCAGATTCAGTTTTCCTTTGAAATGTCTCATGACACGACAGTTTGACAGCTGTGATGTCCAGATCAGTGATGACAGTTGGGTCTGTACTCAGAATATAGACTGGATTGGACTCGTACATGTATGATGCTATTTTCAGGTTAAATTTCAGGGTTTTTTTTTTTATTCCCTCATTAAAAATCTACAAATATGTAAATGCACTTGTGCATTTCGTCTTTTAACCACCTAATTTTAAAAAATGGATGTTTATTTCATGCAGAGACTCAGTTTTCCTGCATAAAATCTATAAAATGTTTTATAGAAAAGCAGTTTTGACAGCTGGGGTGTCACATTTTTGTTATTGGCACTGACAGAGTGAAACAGTTGAATTTGGACTTATAGGTCACACATAGGCCTATAGCCTACTGTTAGGATACTTTTTGCAGATTAAATTTCATCTTTGTGGTGTGAGATGTTAAATATGCTTTTAAAATAATCTTCTTATGAGTGCCAGTAGATCATGAACTGACTCATGCATTTGTATTTGGTCTTTTAAACCCCATCTGAATGTGTCTTTAGGTTCTTTGTTTCATGCAGGAACTCTTCTTTTTTTCTTGTACAGTCTTATAAAATCCCATATTACAGGCCCACACTACAGTTTGGCCTTTTGACATCATTTCTGGAAATAGTAAAGTTGCAGCTCTCCAAAGACACATCTGTAATAAGCCTTTAAAGAATCTCAGCATGTTATTTCAGCTGCAGGATTAAGTCTTTGGGTCTGTAAATACAAGGAGATCATTTGTTTCCACTGCGAACAGAAGTGTCTCCAGTCTTCTTGAATCTTGACCCGTTTTAAAGGAAACTCTGAAACCCTCAGTGGGTTATCTGATCCTCACCGGCAGCTTTTTTTTTCGCCCACTTCAGCCTAACATGCGCATTTTTTTTTTTTTTTGCAGCGTGCAGGCGCTTTGACGCGAGTAACAGCGTTTGGTTACTCGTCTCCATAAGTGCGTGTCAGCCTGATGCATATCTGTGCTGTCAGCCGCGGGAAAGGTGGATCCTCCACTACAAGCCAACACCTCTTATCCTCATCTTGTCATGCGTGTAGCAGCGCAGCTCCGTCCAGCTCCATCCCTCTGACTGCTGCTGCCGCTGCTGACAACGACACTCCCGCTCCGCCTCGCCTCTCCGCACACGCACTTGTGCGTCGTGGAAGACACGCTGCGTCCGACAGAATGAATGGCTACGGGTCGCCCTACCTGTACATGGGGGCTCCGGTGTCTCAGCCGCGGGCTCCGCTCCAGAGGACCCCCAAGTGTGCGCGGTGCAGGAACCACGGCGTGCTGTCGTGGCTCAAAGGTCACAAGCGCTACTGCCGCTTCAAGGACTGCACCTGCGAGAAGTGCATCCTTATCATCGAGCGGCAGCGCGTCATGGCGGCGCAGGTTGCGCTCCGGAGGCAGCAGGCCAACGAGAGTCTGGAGAGCCTCATCCCGGAGTCCCTCAGAGTGCTGCCCGGCATTGGCATGGCCGGATCCGGCGAGGGGAACCAGGAAACCCCGCCGAGGTCAGAGGAGCTGGAGCTGCGGTGGAGCAGCACGGAGCCGGTGCAGGCCGGAGCACAAACATGCGCAGGTAGGAGGGAGGATGAAGAGGAGAGCTGCGGGATGCAGCTCCACCTTTACATCTCTGCTGGAAACTTTATTTTTTATTTCATATAATATAAATAATGAAGAACAAATTGGCTAAAATTCTGAACTACTTTATATTTAGCAACAAAACAACAGAAACGAATAGAAATAAATTTAAACTAGTACCTATCATTAGCTACTACTGGCTTGAAAAATAAAATAAATGGAGTGGAAGATTTTGCTGGCAATATGTATTCTTACACATTTTCTCACACATTAAACTGTGAAAAGATTTGTTATGGAAAAACATCTTTTAATGAAAAATATGGAAAGGTTAAAGCATTTCTAAATGAGCAAAGATTAATCAAAGATGTTTATCTGATCTTCATGCGCCTGTACAAACAGGTTTTAACGGTTTCTAAATATAAATGTTGGCCAGTGGTTTAAAGGGGTATTAAAATGCTGTCATTTGTTTTAGAGAGAATTGTTGTGTAACATTACATAACACATCTCTCTCTATGGTGAATATTGTGATATATTTGAATTACACCTTTTTGTTAAAAGGGATTAGATTGTTATCATTTTACACCTATTTCAAAATAAGATGATTTTATTAAGTTAGAAATTCACGGTAGGACAAGAAACAGGAAACGAAACGAAAAAGAAGCAAATTATTAAATAAATACAGAAATAGATCAAGATTTTGTCGACATTATGTGGATTATCTTTTAAAAAAAAAAATCAAAGAACTTGACAGGATGATATGAAATATATATATATATATATATCCTATAAATACTGCTTATCCAGTGTGTTGTACTGAAGGTGAATTAAACTACTGTGTTTTGTAACATTTTCACAAAATATTTAGAAAAAAAGCATTTTTTGACATTTTATTATTGATTGTGTAAAAAAAGCCACAAACCTCCTTCGAATTTTTTTGTTTTGTTTGTTTGTTTTTTGTCTTTTGCAATCAAAAATGTGAATTCAAAAAAGTATTTAGCATGAATGAACCTTCATTAGTTCAATATTTTAAACAGGCTAATGACTCTATTTCCCCAGGTAATTATTAGAGTAATGAGACCAGCATGAGAGTAGATTTGTTTTTATTTCTGTATTTATCGAAGATTACATTTTTATAAATTCTTAATTTTAAGCAGCAGTATTTCTGTCTAATTATGATTTATTTATGGAAAATGAAATTAAGTGTTTATTCACAGGCTGCAAAACGAGTCAGTTTATATTTGATATAATTTTTTCAACAATTTAATTTCAGCTGTTTTAAGGAGAATAGGCCTGTTTGGATTTGTATGAAAAGGCAGGGTCCTCAACAGGCCTACTCCTCCCTGGGGTCAAGAGGTCATTCCGGGTCAGATGTAACTAATAATTAGTAAATTATTAAATTAAATAATTATTAAATGAGTTCATACATATTCGTTTTCCTATTCACCTGCCTCCACCTGGCTGCACTAACAGCATTAGGACACGAGCACCGATCAGCTGACTCCTCATCAGCTCCGGGCCCGAGCGGGTTAAAGATGACGGTCATCAGTAGCGGACAGGCCCGATCGAATGTAATCGCCATATTTCTCGCGGGAGGTCAACTTCAGATGAGATGTTACCGAGCAACAGGCGATCTGTTTACAAAGTGTGGTCAGGAGGCATCGACACACCGCAGTCAGCACTTTGTGTTAACAGCTCCGGAGAGGGGAGAGGAGGAGAGCCGCGTAAATCCTCCATAAATCGCTGCGTTGGAGACAAGTTGACAAGCGAGTAATTGTGTGTTACCTTTCCTCGTGAGGAGAGCTTACAGGGCTTCTAATAGGAGAAGGAGGTCACGTGCAGAGAGGAGTCAGATTAGTGTCGAATTCATGTAATGCTCTGTCAGCTTGGTGCATGCCTCTCCTGCAGGATTACATTTGTTGTGTCTCTTGTCCAAACTTGACTCCTGACTCTCTGTGTCCTCGTCTTGCAGAGCCGACAGAGGACGGGCCCGATGAGGCGTCGGGAGGCGAGAACGGGGGGAGCTCCAGTGAGAAGGAGCAGGACCCGGTCAGCTCCCCAGAGGAATCCAAACCGAACTCCTGCTACACCCCGGAGCCTCCAGAAACCACCTCCCACCCGGAGGAGACCCGCTACAGCCTCCCCAAAGCCGGCAGCGCTGAGAAGGAGGCCAAGGCCGAGAGTCCTCACAAGTATCCCGTCAGCCCCGGGGAGCAGAGCGTGCTGATCGAAGGCCTCGCCGGCTCCATCAACCTGCCCTTCAGCCTTCGAGCCAACAGGCCGCCGCTGGAGGTCCTCAAGAAGATCTTCCCCGCTCACAAGCCTCCTGTGCTGGAGCTCATCCTCAGAGGCTGTGGGGGGGATCTGGTGGGGGCCATCGAGGTGCTGCTGTCCAGCCGGAATTCGGACGGGAGCGCGCACACGCACGCCGACCCGCACCCGGACGCCCTGGTGCTGCCTTCAAATGGACACCTGTTCGAGCACACGCTGGGCTCTTACCACCCGGTGTCCTCCTCCGCCAAGTGGTCGGTGGGCTCCGCTTTCCGGGTGCCCGAGTCGCTCCGCTTCACGTCCGACTCCGCTTCGGGCGTGGTTTCCACGGGCCCGCTGGGTGTCCCCCTGCAGCACCCGTCCTTCCCGCAGCCCACGCGCTACCCGCTCATGCTGCGCAACTCTCTGACGCGCAGCCAGGCCAGCCCCTTCGTGCACAACGACGTGACTCTGTGGAATACCATGGCCCTGCAGCAGCAGTACCAGCTCCGGTCAGCGGCCCAGTACGTATCTCCGTTCTCCCCCGCAGCCCCCGCCGGCCCCGGGGGTTCCGTGTTCCGCAGCTCCCCCATCCTCCCCTCCAGACCCTCCGAGGAGCAACGCATCAGCATCCAGGAGGAGAGCTGCACGCTGGGGCCCAAACCCGGCCTCTACTCCCCGGATGAGGAGTACGAGGAGCGGTCTGACTCCGCAGACTCCCGCATCCTGAGCTCATCCACCTAAAACACATGCTGATGATGGACTAACGCAGCAGGGGAGAACCAAAAATATTCTTCTGAAAGGACACCTGTGCGTGTGCGTGTGTGTGTGTGAGCGCGCGCGCGTGTGTGTGTAAGCAATCACCCATCGTCACGGTGATGTTAATCCTCCAACATCACATCACCCCTCGTGCTTTCAAGATGTCACTGGACCTGACCAAAACGGATGAATGTAACACATTGTGATCACTATTATTTTGAAAATCCATTACCTATTTCCTGTCAGCATGTTTATTACTGTGAAAACTATCGATGTAAAGATCACCACTGCATGTTATTAAGAGTATGCCAAATAAATCTGAGTTGTCCAAATGGATCGGACTGTTGTCTTGACTGAATTCAGGGCTTTAGGCCTGAGATGTTGTTGTTTTTGTTGTTGTTGTTATTGTTGTTGTTCCTGTGTGTGTTTACAAATGTTTGGGACTTGTCCACAGGAATGTTGTAAATTTATATTTAACAAACATCTCTGCTCTGTGGTTATAGCTGCTTTCATTCTTATATAATCATGCATTATGTTACATTAAACCCCAGGAGGTTCAGTGTTATCTAAAATTGTCTGTCAATATTGTAACAGCAGAATAATGTAATTAAATTCATGCTCTTTGTAAAATAAGAAATAATAACCAATTCATCCAAGAACTAATTTTAACATTGTAAGAAGGTGAAACAATTGGTTCCAGAGGAAGATTTAGAGAGAAAATATGGAGAGTTTGATATAAAGATCAGAACATCCAGAATAAGTTAAAGCAGCCGTGTCTCAAACACAACACACAACCACAGAACATTCACTCACTGTATTATCAGTATGTGGAGAACTCTGTTACTATTTATACACAGTTGCCTATAAAGCAGTAGCCTATAAAAAAATGAAATGGTTTATATGCAATATATTGTAGTTATAAGCGGATATATTTATAAGGACATTTTAAGCATATCAAAGCACAGTATCTGTCAACAAGAGATGTATTTTATGTTATTATAAGTGTGTTTTACTATATTGTCATTTATTATCTGTCGTATAACAGCCTCCACTTATGGCTGCACAAAGGAGCGATTGACAAATCCATTAATAAACAACTTAGCCTATATCTGCTTACAATTATAGAGCATTATAAGCCATTTATTAAATGTTTATATAGCTACTGCTTATTAATGATGAACAGGGGGATTTTAAATTTTGACAATTTCCCAAAAAAATAAATAAAAAATTTATTTTAAAAAACGATTTTGCATATTTTTGTATAGAAAATATCCAGCGATGTATTAACATGTACGTCACTTAAATGTTGCAACTGGTAAAAATGCAGTTAATTTTAATCACTGTATATACTGCAGGGTATAGATCAATAAAGTCTTATAACCCTAACCTATAGGTCATAATTTATTAGTTGATTATATTTTTGTATCATTATTCTGAATCTGCAAACTTAAGTTATCAAATACATGTAGCGGAGTAAATGTAGTAAAATATTTTGCCTCTGAAATGTTGTGGAGTAAAAGTAGAAAGTAGCAGGAAATTGAGATGCTCGTGTAAAGTACAAATACCTCAAAACTGTTCTTAAAGTACAAAACTTTATGAGTACTTAGTTACTTTTCACCACTGGTGTTTGAAAATTGAAGCTGTTTTGAATTGATACTCAGTGTGTCTGGTGCAGTATCGAGCATATCGGTAAAACAGTGAGTAAATGAAGTCACACTGAACAGCTGGATGAACAGCTGGAAGATTAGGAAGAAGACAGCGGTGGAATGTAACTAAGTACATTTACTCAGACGTACTGTACTTGTGCAGAAACTTGAAGTACTTTTAATTTCATTTCCATTTTATGCAACTTCATACTTTTACTCCTCCACATTTCAGAGGTAAATATTGGACATTTACAATTTTTCTGACCCTTCCTATCCAGTGAAAACCACAAATCTCCAAATTAAATGACTATAGGTTCATGCAGGGGCCAGTTTTTGTCAGTGTTGTTCAATGTGGGAGCCAACACAGTTTCAGAGGTGTGGTGGAGACACTTTATGAATCATCTATGAATAAATCTGAACAAATTATACATTTACATGTGAAGAATTTGTAGAAGAGATTCATTTAAAAAAAAAAAAAATGTACAAAAGTGTTTTAGAATGACAAAACTCCTGCTGGGCGAGAAGCGCAAAAGGTATTGATTAGGGGAATATGCAAAAGATCACAGTATAGACAATATCTGTCATGTGCAGGGATAATACCTCAAGATGTTGATGTAATGTGGTTGATAACTGATGAGGCCAAATGCAGAAGAAAAGGCTGGTGCTGGTCCATCATTGGTGATTAGACTGGAATTCTGGTCCTGAGACAGACAAACATGTTATAGGACAATTTCTTCACATCACATAAGTTCTTTATATTCATGTGTGCAATAATCAGGATAGATATGAATATGTAAATATAAATACTGTATGAATATCATGAAATGTAAATGCAAGAAAATTAAGAGTAAACAACCAAGTGTGATAAGAATTCAATGTATACACACACTATATAACCAACAAATTGAGTAGTACAAATATGGATATACTGTAAAATACATAAACAGTCGTATATTCATTATTAAGAATCAGCAGTATGAACATGTTTACACTGTGGGTCTGATTTAATCACAGTGGTATAGACAAGTCTTACTTTTAAAAGTGAATGATAGCGTGTTACTCACCTAGACACTGTGTCTTAACTCTCTGCTGTTGGTGAGACGGGTGGAGGCGGTATTGCATCTGTACTGGCTCAGGTCCTGAAAAAGACAGAGGTATGCTGAAATCTCCTGAGAAATGTAAAGACCTAGTGCACTTTCAATCATGGCTGATCTAACAGTAATGTAAAGTGGTTACAACATGGTCTACTGGGTCCATACAATCTCAAGTTATAGTCATCAGTTACAAAATGAGCCTAAAGTTACTGACGTAACTAGCTGTACAACAGCCGAGAGCAACAGACACAATCATAGTAACCACTAAAACGTCTGTCAACAACGTCAATATCACCACCTGAAATGTTTGTCAGTCGTTGCACTGATTATACTTTTAGCTTCAGAGCCAACATTGACGCTACTCACCAGGCTAACAGGAAAGTTGCAAGCTCGGCATCAAACCGCATCTCTTTACTCTCAGGAGCTGTCTCCAGCGGTGGAAACCCACATCGAGATTTACTCATGTCGCTTCTTTTCCTTGCCATTGAACGTGGTTTCTTGTCGGGAACGGTCCTTCGGGATGCAGATGAATATCGCCTTTTAGGAGGTTCAGCCATTCCTGTGTTTCTGTGATGCTAACTTCAAGCGCTGCCGGAAGTTGTTCTTCTTCGTGGGACTGAGACCAGACTTGACGCGCCACCGACTCACACAGCGTCTAGCGTCACAAAGTGGTATCACAACACAGGACAGGTCGGGGCTGGCTGGTGCGCATGCGCATTTCAGTAGATAACTCTGAAATACAACAGATGGAGGTCTTGATCATGACATTGTCACTGTGGCTGCTTCACACACTGTTGATAGTGTCAATTCATTTTTTTTAAATAAAGTTCTGGCCACATCTTATATTGCACCTTTACAGCACAACCACCAAACCTGACATTTAAAAAGTAAAGCTACATGTTAATTGTCCACATTGCAAACCAATTTAGTTTTCACACTTGAGTTAAAACAAAGACATTGAGCTTAACTTGACTAATATTGACACATTTGATGCATATAAAACATTTTGATTTACTTTTACGGTATATTAATCTATGCATGGGATATATAATACAATCATGCTTTCCCTTATACTTACATAAAATCTGTGATACACAAACATTTATATTTGCCCATTTTGCATTCAGGCCAGTAGATGTTGCACTGTTCAGATGAAGCATCAAGATATAAACCCTTTGTGGAACCACTTTGCTGAGAAAGTAAAACCTCTGACGCTGTGGGACTCACATCCAGTACCAGGCAGTTGATTTCTGCAAGCAAAGAAGATACAACAGCCCGGGAAATTTTACTCACCAAGTATTTCACTTACTGACCACGGACTGCTCACAGAGCCAGGTGTCAGTTCACTGCTGCCATGTTGATTCTGGTGTCCGTATATGTAGTCATGGGCTGTCTTACCAGTCACCGTATGTTGGCAGTCTTTATGTTATGACCCAGCTAGGGGAAAAGGGAAGCAACATAAAACCAGGTGTTATTGCTAAATCAAATTTACTGATTTAATTTATTGCGTAACCAGGAGGGTAAATAAGTAAACATAAATACAAACAAGGCAAGAGGATAACTGAAGTAGGGGAACAGGCGCCAACAAAGAGCCTAACTATGCGATTCTAACCAACCCAAAAACGCTAGAATCAGCGCCCCTGTTCTTAATGTGTCCAAAAGTCTTTTTCCAAGGGTGTGATGCGCAATCAGAATTTTAAGCCTTGCCCAGTCCCCAACAATCAACACCAGCATCTCAAACCAAATCACAAATTACACTCAAATGTTCACAAAGGCGGTACAGAGGCGAGCTGCCTATCATGTCAGCCGCCACTAATGATGTGCAGGCCGGGCTCTTAAACTCTCTTCCTCTGATGCTCAAACGGCAACAGCTGTGTTGAGGACTGACAGGGTCACTGCTGCACCAATAGGAGAAGCCGTGGAGTCAGAGGCTCCTCCTCTCTGCTCCGACAGGGACAGGTAATCCATCAGTTAGTGTTGAAATGCCCAAGTTCTGTGCAGCAACAGGCTGTAATAACAAGAACAACTGTAGAGAGAGTCTTTGCTCTGCACGGCCGCCTACACCTGCTACCTGACTGCAGCAGGCTGCTGGATACGCGCTGCAAAGTTGCTGCTAACACAGTTAGCATTCATAATTCGAGGTAAACTTCATATCTTAGTGTTAAAATAATCTTAGTAGCTAATTGCATACATGTCCACATTTGGTAAATATCACGTATATAAGGAGAAAGCTTGTAATATTGGC